CATAATACTTGTGTAAAGGAGGAATTGAATATGTTTATCTCTCAGAATGTTTGGTAATATGTTTATTGTTTGTGATGTGTGTATATGTATGTATTAACACGATGTACTGAACGGGGTGTGAATAGCTTGAGCCACCTCATCCTTTTGTGTGTATTTTACCTCAATAAACTTATCTCAATCTCAATTTCAATGTCTTGGATAACTTTATTTGACTATATCTTGTATTACTTTATAAGACCAAATCCTGGGTAACTTTATGAGACTATATCCTGGATATCTTTATATTCTGGATAACTTTGAAACTATATTCTGGGTAACTTTGAGACAACATCGTGGATAACTTTAGTTTACCTTTTCTTGGATAACAATGAGGCCATAACAATTATATAAGTAAGTATCAAGAGAAGACATCAGTTTCGGAACAGTATATAGCTCTGAACTTTCGAATATATGAGACTGCAGAATATTTACTGACCAATGTGATGTCACATCCATATATATCCAGCCGCACCCACTCCATTATTCTTGACAATATCCAGAGGTAAGTCCACAGCGTTACTTCCTAACCAATTTTTACATTTGTGTTTACGTCCTATCCATTGCTTCGTTTTCTAAATATTGCTTCCCATTTTTACCACGCTAATAATACCCTGTCTTATATCTTCTTCGTTTGAGAGACTGAAGAGGGCAGTGAATAACTTGGCCATCGTCTCCTCTGGTTACACGGCAATGCATCCATAATGTAGCATTGTACATCAGTTATACTCAACACGATCCAACATCCCGTTTGTATGTTACTCGCCCTGTAATACTGGATTCACGGAATATCTCGTATTATGATAGACCTGTATACAAATACAAATATTTATTCAGGTACAGTACATACATACAAGGTGAAATACAGAAGTTGATGGATTTATAGTTAGAGCTAGTACATACAATGCCTAAAGCCACTATTACGCAAAGCGTTTCGGGCAGGAAAAACACTAAGACTAAAACTTAATGTTAACTTACATTAAAGTATAAATTGAGTTTAGAAAAAATAAGAAAAAATGAAAAAAGGGGGGGGGGAGAAACATGGCAGAAAAAAGAGCAAAAATTCAATTTGGTCAACAAACAGCATTGTTTAAAATCGTAGACATGGGTTGACATTTAGGGGTAAGGTAGGTTACATTGAGTTAATTAGGTGGTACTTAGTTTTTATCTGAAGCTGGTTAGGAGAAGTACAGTCTTTAACAAAATTGGGAGGGCATTCCACATTCGAGGTCCCTTGATTTGAAAAACATTTCTAGTTTGACTAAGTCGTAGTCTTGGAATATCAAATAGGTATTTGTTTCTGTTGAGGTGCTCATGGGATCTGTTACAACCTTCTAGGAAGCTTTTAAGGTCAGGATTGACATTCCAGTTCAGCGTATTATATATAAAATACACATGAGAGGATGTGCAGTGACTTAATATCTAACATATTCAGAGATTTGAGTAAGGGTACCAGTGACATCTGGGGCCAGAGTTAGATAGTGTCCTAATAGCAGCTTTGTGTTGAGTAATTAGAGGACGTAAATGATTTTGGGTAGTAGAAACTCAAGCACAAATACCATAGTTGAGATAAGGATAGATGAGAGAGTAATAGAGTGTCACCAGGGCAGCGCGAGGTACATAATATCTGATCTTAGAATGACTGCCAACAGTTTTTGAAACTTTTTTTTATATATTTAGAATGCGTCCCTGGAAATTCAGCTTGTGGTCAATGAGAACGCCAAGGAATTTGCCATCTACTTTGTTACAAATTTGGGTATTGTTAATCCTGAGATTTATTTGATTTGAGGATTTATTGCCAAACAAAATATAGAAAGTTTTGTCAATATTGAGGGTGAGTTTGTTGGCAGTTAGCCAGTGATGGACTGTATTTAGCTCAGTATTCACTCTGACATTTAGAGCAAGGGGGTCAGGACTGGAGTAAATGAAGGTCGTGTCGTCAGCAAATAGAATTGGTTTAAGATTTTGGGAGGCATTTGGGAGGTCATTGATGTAGATGAGAAAGAGGAGAGGGCCAAGTATGCTGCCCTGGGGAACACCAATGTTGATGGGTATGGTGGGAGAAATTGAATTATTCACAGAAACATATTGGAGCCTGTCAGTAAGGTAAGACTTAAGGTACTGCAGGGAGTGATCTCTGACTGCATAATGTTGTAATTTAAGAAGAAGGTTTTGGTGGTTGACAGTGTCAAAAGCCTTACGCAGGTCCACAAATAACCCAATAGGGAACTCATTTTTATCAAGAGCTGTATGTATCATGTTAATCATACAAATAAGTGCATCGTTAGTGTTTTTTGGGGGTCTGAAGCCATATTCACAACAGCTAAGTATATTGTGTTTGGCTAGATATGAGTAAAGCTGCTTGTAGATAAGTTTTTCAAATATTTTAGGCAAGTTTGGCAGAATTGATATAGATCTGAAGTTGTTAACATCAGTGGGATCACGACATTTGTGGACAGGGGTTACTCTCGCTTTATTTTTTAGAATATCTGGAAAGGTTTAGAGTTCAAGTGACTTCTTGAAAAGCAATGCAATGGCAGGAGCTAAAAATCTGGAGGCATTTTTGTAAATAAGAGTTAGTATCTCCTCAAGGGCACTAGACTTGGTTTTAAGGGAAAGGATTATGTCAGTAACATCAGTGGAATTAGTAGGCATTAGGTACAGAGACTGTGGATAGTTACCTTTAAGATATTCCAGAATATCAGTACTGGAAGATGGAATATCATTTGCAAGGGATGACCCAATGGAAGAGAAGAACCTATTGAACTCAAAAGCAGTGTCAGAGGCTGAAAGCAGACCATCATTATTGGACAGGAGTATTGGTTTGTTATTTAAAATCTTCTTTGATCCCAATATTTGAGAAATTGTGCTCCATATTTTCTTAATGTTGCACTTTGTGTGGGTAAATTTATCTTCGTAGTATTTAGTTTTGGCTCTCCTAATTATTTTAGATAGCAATGATGAGTAATTCTTTAAAAATTCTTTGGAGACGATTCCTAACCTATACTTCTTTTCAAGGTCATGATTTTTATTAATGGATTTAAGTATCCCTTTGTAAGCCAAGGATTGTTTAGCCTTTTAGTTGTGACTTGTTTCGTTAGCATAGGACAGTGGGTGTTATAAAGGCTGAGAGTTTTTTGAAGAAAAAATTGCACTGCTAGGTTGATGTCCCCTATGTTACCTAACTCGGACTCCCAGTTGACATTATCAGCAGCAGTTATAAAATTGCCTATAGCAGTTTCATTGTGCAGCCTAAAGCTTATCTCCCTTGTCTCTAGAGGTGGGTTGGTAATGTTAGTTAGGAGAAATGTGGGGTAATGGTCTGTAGTGCTATCAGTGATTATCCCTGAAGTAAGCAGAGAGGTTATGTTGGTCCAGATGTGATCAAGAGCTGTGGCAGTACTATCAGTGATTCTAGTAGGCTTAGTGATTAAGGGTATGAGGAAGCATGAATTCATGCAGTTGAGGAAGCTGACAGCAGAAGGGTTTTCAGGCTCGCAGAGGTCAATATTAAAGTTCCCTTCGATAATTAGATGGTTTTTGTTCAGTCTGTTATCTAATATTAGATTTCTAAGATTAGACTTGAATTCGGACACATCAGTGTTAGGAATTCTATAGACTGCTCCCACAGACAGGACAGACTCGGCACCCGTGACTCTGAAACTGGCGAAGATATACTCCCCACAGTAGTCTCTAGTTCTAATTACTTTTAAGCATGTTAGTTCTTGGTGGTAGTAAAGAGCAGTGCCACCACCTCTATGAATTAGTCGACAGTTGTGAACTGCTGAGTAGTTAGGCATGTTAAAGAGTTGAGTAGTATCCTCTTTTAACCACGTTTCAGTAAGTATAATAAAAGAGAATTTGTTGTCAATAGTTTCAATCAAGGCACTAACATCATCGAAGTGTTTGCTTAGTGATCTTACATTCAAGTTAAGTACAGAGATATTGTGATTAAGTGTTAATACATTGTTTACATCATGAGCTGTAAAATATCTGCAATTTTGATCATTAAAGTGATGATTGTCATAGATAGTGGATAAGAGGTTTAGTTCTGGGTCTATACTTGTTTGCATAAGAAGGCTGGTTGTAGGAAAACAAGGCAAGAATGGCAATTACCAAACAAAATTTTGATATAAAAGGGGGGAAAAATATAAATATAAACAAGACTATACAAGACGAACATAAAATGAACAAAAAAAGAAAAATGAGGTAGATTGCTTACAAGTACTCTCAGGTACACTGTAAGTAATGATTTGCATTTTGAGACACAGGCAAAGCCAGGGGTACAATGGAGTAAGGGAGTATGGCGAGGCTAGGCAACCTAGGTAATAAATGAAAGCAAAGAAAAAAGTTGAATAATAAACATAGGCAAGTTTAATCTAATGATTATTAACTATAAATAGTTTAGTTATGATCCTGTAATTAATAAGAACTAGAGAAAATATTAATGCACTCAATTAATTAAGTCCAATAACTGACTAATATAAATTCAATTAAAATTTCCTTTAAAAAAGTGTAACAAAGAGACTTTGGATACGTAGCCCGCACTAGGAGACAAGGGGGGTTAATTATGTTGACTCAATGAGAGGGATACTAAGGTGAGACAAACCACATTTGGAGATGAAAGTGTTGAGGTTATCCTCATTAGCAATTGTAAACATTTTACCTTCTGAGGTCTTTCTCACTTTAATCACGCCATCTCTAACGAAGCACTGATCAATCGCAGCTGGGTTTTGTTTGCGGATTTGACGCAGGCGGTGGAGGAGTTGCTGTCTTTTTCTAGTTAAGCACTCGTTGATGTAGATTCCCTTTCGTTGGGATGCAGCTGTCCGGATAATTGTAGTACTGGGATTAAGGTTCGCTCTCTCGGTAGTTCAAGGCGGCAATCAACCTGCAGTTGTTATTACAACCAAATTGTACAATCATATCTGGGAAGTAATTAGTTTGTTCTTCCTCCCTGGCAGACTACAAGTACTGGGAGGACACCAGTGACGACTTCCGGCCCCTGGAGGGCTCTCTGCTCCCGCTCTGGAAGTTCACTACCCACAAGACTCGTGACCTTTTGGTGGCTGACGTCTGCTGGAGCCCAGCATACCCCGACCTGCTGGCTGCTGCCTACACCCCAAGTGAGTCCTGTTTGTACCACAACAGCATACCCCGACCTGCTGGCTGCTGCCTACACCCCAAGTGAGTCCTGTTTGTACCACAACAGCATACCCCGACCTGCTGGCTGCTGCCTACACCCCAAGTGAGTCCTGTTTGTACCACAACAGCATACCCCGACCTGCTGGCTGCTGCCTACACCCCAAGTGAGTCCTGTTTGTACCACAACAGCATACCCCGACCTGCTGGCTGCTGCCTACACCCCAAGTGAGTCCTGTTTGTACCACAACAGCATACCCCGACCTGCTGGCTGCTGCCTACACCCCAAGTGAGTCCTGTTTGTACCACAACAGCATACCCTGACCTGCTGGCTGCTGCCTACACCCCAAGTGAGTCCTGTTTGTACCACAACAGCATACCCCGACCTGCTGGCTGCTGCCTACACCCCAAGTGAGTCCTGTTTGTACCACAACAGCATACCCCGACCTGCTGGCTGCTGCCTACACCCCATGTGAGTCCTGTTTGTACCACAACAGCATACCCCGACCTACTGGCTGCTGTGTATACTCCAAGCACACCCGGTGTACCATCCCAGAAGAGCAACTTTTTTAGTCCTTCCTTACAGTGAGCATCCTAGCCAAGTTGGTACAGCGATACCCCAGTATTATACAGGTCAGAGATCAATAAACGAGAATCCAAGGGAATGAAATGTTATTTCTCATTGTTATAAATTTAATTGCTGTTATGGGGGTATAGAGTATTAAAGGAGAGAGGCCAACAGTTAGAATCAGGGTGTATCAAAATTAATGGAGATCAGATAGGCCCAGCCCCCAGTGAGAACATAAAACAATATTACTTTAGTGGCTTAAGGTCCATACGTCAGCCTAGAGGTTTGATCACTGATCACCTACACAGGAAGAATGGATACTCCTTTAAAACTAACTTATTTATTAAACCCTCTTAACAACCCCCATATACATTAACAACAATAACAATAACTACTTTACCACACTATCTTACTTTAAAGCCTTGGTCCACATAGGCAGGATACAAGGTTTTACAATTAGGACAAGCTAGGGTAAAGTCTACTAGGCAAGGGACACTAGCAAGGACTCTAGGTAGCTTGGTACCACTTGAGCACACGTGGTTCCACTGGAACCCCTTAGAGTAACTAAGCAACATAAACACTAGCGTAGCCTATACACATTACTACACACTTATGCCAGAAAACGAACATGCAGCACGGTACTTAGCTTGGTAAACTAGACACAGGATAAGGTAAGGGAAGAGGAGGAGAGAGAGGAGGAGGATACAGAGCAACACAGGAGAGGTGTTGACTCAACCACAGCAGTCCAGAGAAGAGCGCACGCCAGGCGTCCAGTCTCTGAGCTCCCAAGTTGTTGTTGTGGTTGCCGGGAAGATAACCTAATTGATCGTGCAGCTACAAACAATACAAGTCTTTACCGGCCTTTGTTACTTTACTAGTTCTAAGAGTAGTTGATAATTAGTTCACTCATTAATAATCAACAACAAGCTCAAGTCTGAATGCTCTGTGAGAAACAAGATTCATCTTACGTCTGGCAAGGACGATAGGAGCAAATGCGCATCAGCAATCGTATCAAATAATGTAAAGTAAAATATTTAGAGCTCAATTTGACCTCTGGTTTCCAACTAAGGAACCCAGGGTCGTAACACTCTTCATATGTTGGAGTACAATGTATATGACAAGGTTGAAGGGGTGGATTACTATAACCCGTTGGTTGTGCTACAGACAGTGCTGAGAATAGCCTTGATGAGCTGCATAAAGCTTGGTGGCCAGTGTTGACTTTTACACCACAAAGTCACACAAAGCTTGGTAGTCAATGTTTACCTTTACCCCACAAGGTCTCATGAGGACCAAAACAGGACTTCGGAATCACCACAAAGAATTTAAACATATATGTACCTTTTAATTATGAATAGAAAGGTATTTAAAGTGAAAAATAATAATTATTTTCAATTGAATGTATTTACTGACTGCATATTTATCATTGGCTTCACCAGTCTCAGAGATTATGTATACATTACAATGGAAATAATACTAAAATCTAATTTTGTACATAATTTTAAGAAACATTTATTGTAAACAAAATGCTGAATATATATACAAAAATCTTAAATTTTGTGAGGCCCCTGCAAACTGTGAGGCCCTAAGGTGTAGCCTGTTGATCTTATGCCAAGTCCAGCACTGGCTGCAAGAAAGGTTATGTGGGGTTACGTGGATAAGTATTTATTCAAATTTAAATGCAAGTAGACTATATATTGGTAATTGTTATCAAAATTTAGTGGACGGTATAACATAGGTAAATTTAAATCCTCTACACAATTCCCTCAGTGTTCTTTTTAAAAAATGTTAGTAAATAAAATCTTAAAGCTTGTCGATTAATTTGTTGAAATTGTGAACTTATTGCTTTAAATTCAATACTGAAGCTACCCTGACTATAGACCAATATATAATCACACTTTACAACGACAGTACTGACTCGACAACAAGCCTACTGCTAGAGCAATGAATTCACAGCTATAATTATTAATTGATTGAAATCAATTTGCTGTTCGATCTGAATTGTGTTATTAAAGCAGAGTTTTTAGCTGGTAAGATGACTCCTTAAAGTGTAGTATGGCGTCTGGTAATCAATGTGAAAACTCTATAGATGCCTCGCACCGTCAGCGTCCCTCTGGGTAATGGACCTCTCTCAATTCTAGCAATACCTCCTGCAGCTAAGGTATTATTAAGGCGAGAATTACATTTTTATATAAAAATCTGACTGATCCACAAATCAGTTAGTTTTCTTGTTATATGATTACTGGTGTTTCGACAATTTCATGCTCATAACTGCCACCAGTATTCCACTAATTCCCACTCATATAATCATTCTGATCAATAAACTGAGAGCGATACTTAGCCTGGGTCGGAAATAGAGCCGTTGGGGGTAGTTCGAACAGCTATATTTTGACATAGTAGTCCAACAATGATTTTAAGGACAGTTTGCGTGTAAGGATTTTCCGTGTTAATGGTCTAGATCACAATGGCTGACTAAATTCTCACACTCGTTCCTGTGAGTGTCAGGTATTCAATTGGGAGTTGATTCTTTAAATTTGAATTGTTCCAGAGTTCGAATTAGAGTAATTTGATTTATATATAAGGTATTATATTTAATCTGCGCACCATAGTTCATTTATGAGATTTAAGAGAAGTATTTCAGTTACTAAACCGTCTCGTGGTGACGTCCAACTGATTGCCGTCGCAAATATTGCGTCAGCCAATCTGCACATATTAATTAAAGTTATTATTTAAGAGCAGATGACAGAGTCATCATAGTTATTTATTATTAGATAAATTTATTATTCAGTTATAAATAATATTACAGGCAGAGAAGGAGACAGACACAAAGACACTCAGAAAGAGACAAATAGACAAGGACAGACAGAAGATGGATGGACTGATAGAAGGATGGATTGATCGATAGATGGATGGAAAGTTGGATAGTTGATGATGGGCAGTTAGAAAATCTGTAAGAGCCGTGATGAAGATTCCCATGCACATGCCCTAGACAACTAGGTCACGACATGGTAGAAATATTATAACCTGGAGTTCTACTGAAGACACGAGGGTTTTCTGAGGCTTCCACTAAAATCGGACCAGGATTTTCACACAATCCCCCCGTGCACTCTGGCTCTATCGTCTAGGAATGTTCCACCTCTGAAAGAGGCGTGTCAGAATTAGAACATTCCTAGATTGAATGACTGGTAAATCAGAGAATGGATCTTGTTGCAGATCCCAGATCTGTTGCAGTCCTCAGACCTGAGGGCTGCAACCCAGTACTCAGGTCCCAAAGTACCTTTAAAGACAAAATGCTTATGGTACTAATAGTAATGTGCAGACGATGAGTCACAATAACGTGGCTGAAGATATGATGACCAAACCACACACCAGAAGATCAGGAGACGACGACGTTTCGGTCCGTCCTAGACCATTATCAAGTCGTGTGTGGATAATGATAACTTGACAATGGTCCAGAACGAACCGAATTGTCGTCGTTTCTTCATCTTCTGGTGTGTGGTTTGGTCATCTCATAGTACCTACATTTGCTTATTTACAAAGTCTGGTTGTTGTAAACATTTGGTCATAATAATCTGCCCGAAACGCTGTGCGTACTAGTGGCTTTACAAGAATGTAAATACTGTACTATCCAATGTATTCTCACTAACCCAATGTACCTTCTTGTATATATATAAATAAATAAATAAATAAATAAATAAATAACCACCCCATTTAATGCTCACCTCCTATTGCTCCTTATCTTACTCTTTTCGGTGCCTTTAATGCATAATAATTTATATTATAGTAAAGTCGTCAGCGTTGTTGACAGGTGAATGTTCAGTTTCCTTAAATGTTAATAATATGGGCATTTGAATGTGTGATCTTCCTAGCTGTGCCTGCTCATCTGTATATTTAAAGAAACATTTTCCCCATGATATAAACCACATTTTTACAGTGCATCCTGTTAAAGGTAATTACTTTGCTTAGGAAAAATCTTGGTAGTGGTCAGTAAATTCAAATTAGCATTCTATCATTGATTGTCCTTCAATCAGTTTGTTTGCACCAATCAATCAACCCATTCTCGCGCCCGTTCCCAACGTCAAGAAACGTTGCACTAAAGTGCTCTAACCTAACCAATCAGAGGTCCCACAAACAGAAAACGGGACATTATGTCAATTACGCGAGCCGCTTCCATTTTCTAGTTTGACAGGTAAAGTTTACGTCAAAATGCAATGAGTTATAAGGAGAACAGGTTGAAGCAATATGCTTTGATAAATTAAATGTTTCGTAGGTAATGTATTACAGAAAATTGCTTAGTCCTGGGCCTTGGATATATTTTGGTTAACCTGAATTTACCTGAAGGCCACTATCTCTCTAGTGTCCTCGACGAGGACAGGAAGCCGCAGGCTTGTCAAAGGTCTGCCCATTAGCCTGATATTATCGAGCTGAACTC